GCTCATCGTTTAATATTAGTATATTCCGAATACATGTAGTTCAAATTTTCCCATCAAACCTTTGTGACGCAAGTTTGCTCCGTTTTCGTTTTGTAGAGTAATAGGGAGTTAATACATGGACATTAGCATTGATAGACAGCTAGGCACGATATAAGCTAAAAGCAATTATTAGCAGTTTTAAACCTGAAGCACGGTGCTCCGCACAGCCGAAGCCCGAACACAGCCCAGACAACTCCAGCAATTGCTATTATATGACAGATGCCTGTGTAGCTGTTACCGATGGAGATCCGTCGTTTAGCTTACTTGGACCAACCTGATGGTTAGGAACGGCCAAATGTTTCGTTAAGCACCAATAGACTTCACAATTTCTCTTTCGCCAATCAACTTGACGTTCCACATGCGGGTGTACCAGACAGTTCTTGTCGGCTACCAATTCGCTTCACAGATGGCAAACTACTTCGCGTGTATGCGACGCACATGTCCCCCAACTAGAAAAGCTCACTGTCTGGAAAGAAGACGGTGGCGAGTATATAAATTAGATGCGCAACACACTGCTAAATTACTTACTCGCTGTGATGTTCATGTCAAAATACGTACTACTGCTTGGTATGTCTCATGATGAATGTACACTTTATCTTCCGATGCTGATTATTCAGTGGTAGTATTATCCCAGGGAACTGTGTTATCCATGAGTATCATCGAATCTCATTCAATAAGCACCAGGCTGCATTCTTAATAACCATTAGCTAATTTTTTCAGTACCTTGTGCGGACCCTTTAGAAACTATGTATCTCCTTATCTGTGGTAGGAAGACGTATGCATGCGGTATTGATTAACACTCATTCATCAGCTTTTAACATCTAAATCCGCTGATTTATCTGATTAGGTCATGTGCACATCACAAACTGTGCCACACAGGCAATAAATGCAAAAGACAAATGGATGCCCCGCCCAAGCTTAATTGAGCCACTTGAGACTTTAGCTTTTTGTAGCAAACACAAAGACAGTGCTAGAATCAGTTGCTCAGCGCAGTGAGAGTTTGTGTCCGACAAGTTGAGTACACGGCGGTTAGATGTGTAACAAGAACATCGTTCAAATTCGGACTGCCGAAACATTTGCCAGGATAGTCAAAATTGCTGCATATTCGTGTGAATGAATTTCAAAATGCGCCGATCTAGCGATACCGATAGAGTTGTCTAGACAACAAAGTTATGCATTATAGCTTATTATAGTTCAGAAACAAGTTTTATGTCAAAATGGTTCATAACCTATTCTTCCTATACGGGACCTCTTTCGTTCAACAGCAATTGCGTTTGCGCCGTGCCAACTGGTGCGCCAACATGGTAAGTTCACATTAATGAAGCGGATTTCATTACTTGATCCTTATAAACTCATTTTTGAGAATAACTTCTCCATTGCGTCCGTCAGGCCTAAGTTATTATTTGCTTCAAATGGAAAATGTAATCAGCGTCCAAAAGCAAATGCCAAACTACCAGTGCACACGTTCCTGGCCTTTATAACCAAATCTTGTATGCATGAATACTTAAGCAAATAGCCATCTTTTCAATTTATACTTCCTTTCCACTTGTCCTAACAGTCATAATTACAACCGGAGTACTACTGAAGGATAGCCATAGATTACCTGTTACAAGTAAAAAGGAATTAGAAGACAATCCAGCATCTAGACATATTGAAGACGTTTGCATCAAGGTAAACATTATTGCATTGCCAGTTTCTCTAACAGCGCATAATAGTCGTATCAACGCAAGAACGATCTATGAAGATAATGCCTTTTCTGAATAATTAAGGTTCATATTTCAATGTGACACATATGCCGACCTCATATCAGGAATGTTGGCACATGCGGGATAAAATGTGTTCAGGATGATCACTGTAAAACATGTAGCCATTAAACCACTTTATTTGTAATGCGATTTCAGCTCCGGGCCTCAATTGCATCCAAGACAGGCGTGCCATACGATATGGTCGGATGTAGCCTTTCTTCATTAACTGCGCTTCCGAATCAAACTCACGTCATTGTCAACGTAGCGAATAAAGGATCTGCTGAAGTGCACCCGTTTGTAAGGGAATTGTTTTCTGAATGTGAAAGACGGAGAGATGGCTCCAACTGCACGGGCTTAAACCTGCAACGACAATTCGGTAAATTAGTCTCAATAGTTGCAATGATCTTTCGACAATCATGCTTCTCTGCTACTCTAGCTTTCTTAGTAAAACTAGTGTGTTACAGTCAGCATAAATTCATCAATATACCAGGTATTCCAAGGTTATCAGCCACCTAATAATATTAGATTGAATTCAAATTGAATTCATAACGTACAGAAGCCAAACAAGAACTCATACTTCCATTTGCCTTTTTGAAGTAGTTTTTCTTTGGCAGCAAGCTGATGCTTCACTCTTTTACAGAGACTGTCATCAATCATGGCGATGCAAGTAAGTTTCTCTACAACACTGAGATCCATAGCAAGCAATGACAGCTAGACCGACAGGTAAGCAAACAATCTACTTCTCACCATGTAATCTTGCTTCTGCACTTAGTGGATACCACTGCAGTCGCATCCGAACATACGTCAGTCCGCGGGAACTGAGAGACGACAATCCTATGTAACAGTTCCCACGTCGTTCCTCAGAGCGAGCAGTGCAATTCAGCTGAATACTCTTGTGATTGAACGTCGCGTGATCGCCCGTATTGCCACTGTGAATGTTCCATTAGCGATAAAAAATATTGGCCAAACTATCAGCGATTCTCAAAAAAGTTTTAAGCATGGTACACCACTATGGGGAGTTATTGGGCTAAACGCACAATACCACAGGTTCACCAATATACTGACCACTGATAAACAAGGGTATACATCGCAACGTGTAGGCTAAATCTACCGTTTTACGTAAATATTGTTAACTTGTAACTTTCGAATTGCCAATATTGTCAAACCAATTTAGCAGTCCGGATTGCCATGGGATTCGTCGGAGATGATTTAACTGGCGAATGGCGCAGCGCATATGGCAGTGCAACTGAGGTTATGCATATTTCGGTTACGACCTGTTCGAAAGTAAGCAACTGGTTTGTGTTCATTCGTACGCACATTTCGCTGTCGGATGCATTGCGATGACTCGCAATAATTGGAAGATGGCGGTGGCCAAATAAATTACTGCAGCCACTATAAACCTTCACCTTAAACCTTCACAAGATACTTTACTTATAACTCGAAAATCCTAAACACCATGTGCAATGTAGATCATGTCCCTATTTGATTGCGATTTTTCTATTGTTCATAGCTTAGTTTCTAATAGTTGAACCAAAAAATGCCGAATGCCTCGAACATTTGTCCAGCAAACAAAAATAATTTCTCAGAACACGCACAGGTTTCTCTGTGACGCGTTTTCTTTGGGTACTAACGCGCATACTTTGAAAGCCTTGACGTGTGTCATTAGGTCACTGATAGGGTACGGTAGGTTGATGGGCCGTTGATCATTGCGGTGATATACTTTAGACGAACACGGCACATGCGCTTCGTTTGCCGTGGCGCTAACACAGGTGTAACAACTCAAGCTCTTGCTGGCTCAGGTTGCTTTTCAAAAAGAGACCAAAAAAAGTAGCAAAATTGGCAATTTATTATAAATTTACTGGGTATAAACCAGAAGCTGTCAACATGGCGATTTGTTATGAATTTACCGGGCAATTGAAAACTTTGTACTTACATTACTTGATCTCTTTTATTACATAGTACGAAAAGATGGCGAATACTGAGAAAATATCGGGCTACAAGAACTTTACTTGCGTTGTAACAGGCCCATACAGAGAATATTTGAAAGGGGAATTTATCTTGCAGTTCGAGTCGGATGAAGCAGACGTTATCACTTTAACAAAAGATGACTTGCAAAAGCGAAACACAGGAACCGGTTACGACCTCACTAACATAAAACTTACATTCCCAAGTGCTACACGTTAATATCAGTACTGAAGTCGTACATTGGATAACAAGTTTGCTGTGCTAATTTACAGTGAACCGAAAACAAATTTTATTAACGAAACTCTTTAGACCATAACTTTGGCTTCAAATTTATTGCTCTTTTATTATTGTGCCCATCTGAACGATGCTGAAAATGCCAACGCATGTGCTTGCAGATATATATATATATATATATATATATATATATATATATATATATATATATATATATATATATACTGGCATACGCAACCGACCAAGTCCGAAAAAGCACCCAATTTTACCCATCACACTGAATCACGTCACGACATCATGTTAAGTATCAGAAAGCAAGTAGATGCGAATTTAAAATGGCTTCATACGAAGGGTGCCTGTGCTCACACTATTCCAAGTAGCATCATCCGATGTGTGCAGGCGGTTCCCAAATAAAGTTAGGAGAACGAAACAATTCCTAAGATGTCCGACGGTTTGATATTGCGTGCGCGGCCATCCTATTCGTCAAGCTTACACTTCTTATTGTCTAGATTTTCGACCGCATAGAAGCAGAAGCTGAACGGCGAACGGTGGCTAAGGATTATTCATCGGTTGACTGCAGACTTCAGGAGAGCGTAATGGTCTGTAAACAAAGCAAGGATGAACAATTTGTTTTACTAGAACCAGCAGCAGCAAAGATTCCATTGACCTTTTATCCTTCAACTATGACAGAACGTCGCTTTGGCACTAAAGCGTATTCATGGAAGGAAAGATTAGGTTTCAACTAAAATATGGTCTCGATAATGTTCCCATGGTCCTTTGTAGTTCAATCCTAAGTTACCAATTAGTAGTTTCATCTGGGAATCATTCGCAGCTAAGACGGTGGCTGGACCCTAGTCCGCTCCACACTGAATGCATGGAACTACCCTTCGAGCCTAGCACGGCCACAATGACCGTGCACGCTGTCCCCTCCAGCAACGACCAACTGTCTCCTGGTGCCAGTATGGAGGAGGTAGTGGGTGATAGACAGGTAGGCACCTAGTCAGCATGCACATCAAGCGCAGCGACACCAGATAACTGGATGCTAGACCTGCTAAAGTCAAGGAATCTGTATCTGCGGCAACACAATTAGTACAGATGTAGAATGGTACAATATCTTTGTAGGATCGGCATGGGATCCAACAAAACCCCTCACGTACTATGAACATTTGTTAGCCCGTGCTAGCTGGGCGGAAACCGACAGTTTTGGGGAAAATTAACATTGTGTAGCTTGATTGTTCAAATAATTTAATGATGTACAGCACCGAATGCGCTGAACTACAGTAACGTTACACCAGTGGCATTGCGTTAGAAGCCTTCTGTTGGCTGTACCCACGGACGCCGCGGATTTTTGCTATGCGTTGATGGATTTTACTTTTGCGTTGGAAGTACTGTGCCATGCGAGTTTTCCCTGTGAATTATACACCAATAATTTGCTTGTGGTGTATTTTTCCCTCTGTGCGAATTTGATGTATACTTTCCGGCTACTGTCGTAAATCTCACCGATTAGCCCAACTGCCATCTGTGTCCACCATGCTGAACTTGATTTACAGCAATTTAATCGGTGTCTGCCAAACCACCAGTTTGACTGACTGCTTTTGGATTCAGCATACCAGTTTAGACGTTGTAACGAATGACTTCCGCAGATTTGACATGCACAACGGCACATGCTGCTTTCCCACGGAAAGCTAACTCTAAAGTTTCCGAAATGAACTTTAGTTGTGACGTAGACAGTTGCATAAAATTTGTGCGGTTTGAAATAGAATACAGAAACTGCCGAAAATACTTCCATTCTCGATGTGCGCACCTTTGACTCAGCCAGATAAAATGTGTAAAAGTACGGCCGATTCTCTCTGGTTCTGTACTAAGTATACCTCTCTTCCACTCGTCAGATGTATAACGGTGTTGGCGCAGAAGTGCGATAGGCTGTAAACGATTGTAGAGGAAGCAGTATCCGAAAACCTGCTCCAGTTCAACGTGACCAAGTTCAAAGACGTCAACATATGCCATCAGCTTATCTGTGAATATCAAATGTGGGACCAACAGTTACAACATGCTTCCCAAGAAAACCACGTCGGGGGATAGTGCAGTACGACATTGGTTGCTCGAGACAGGCTGTAAAGGCCTCAGAAAGAGCCAATGCTAATTCTGTACTTTTACGGACGGCTTTCCTGAATTTTTAAACATCAATCTTTCCGCAAATGCAGAACGTCTAATTGAGGTCTCACGTGGAATATGCGATACAGACCTGGTGTCCCTGGCGAAAGCGCGACCTTGATGCACTTGAAGCTGCACAACGTAAAGAGACCAAACTAGTTGTAGGAAGTTTCACCTACCCCAACAAACCAGACTGCAGTCCCTGAGATTGTACTTCGGTGAATATCGACTCTCCGCGAAGAGACCTAATCATGGATTACGTGAAACCGACGATCCCAACTCACACGCTATCAGCTGGTCGGGAAATTTTCGTTGCTCCTGACTTTTCAAGTTTTCGGATTCAAATCTTTTCGCACATCGGCCTGGGTACACTCATTCAATCGGGCTCGATCAGGTCTACCCATTTCGCGAACTCTCTCGAGGCTACTATTAACGGATCAACGTCTAACGCCGGTTTTCAATTCGGGCTGTGTTTCAGCCTTGTCGTTCGCCTACGATTGCACCACTTTTCTACCTTCATCAAGGTTTTTGGAATTAACGGAAAGCTTATTGCTAGCTCTACTTCAGGAGACCTAAACCAACCCTGTCGGTAGCTGAATAAGGCGACTAGAAGCAATTCCATCTTCGTACACTACCTTGGTTGACCAAGAGCTCTCACGCTGCATTGTGAATCGCGTTCTATCGAACGCACACAAATCTCTTTGTTTGGCCGGATTTGTGCGTGTGCGCCTGTTGGAACTTGCGGCATAACGTGACACACTGAGTTGACCTCAGGGATACCTGTGCACGGAGCGGTCGATCACTGCAGGACAGTCTACCCTTGGCGGAATTTGGACAACTGAGCACTCTTACATCCGGTTGGTTTGTATCATTGGTTGCATCTGAAACAGTGGCCTGTCTGTTGACTTGAATAGGTAAATCACTGGACCTTAGCGACCTTTGTTACTCCAGAATTCACGCTTGGTTATAGCATATACTATAGATAGCTTTGATCTTCTCATCTACAAGATTGATGACTGCCATTAACACTCGTGCAATGAGGAAAAAGCGTGTGGAAAACCGAATAATCACGGTAAATAATGTTGCCGTCACGAGTGTCGAGGAACCTGTGCCCTGTTGCACACATTCCGAGGCTGGGATACAAGAGCAGGTAAATAAGTCCAAAGAACAAATCACAGAAAGTTCAGTTAGTGTTGTCGACCTTATATCTTCACTGTCAGCCAAAATAAAGACGTTGGAAAAACAGTTAGAGGAACAAAATGAGAAACTAAAGTTGTTTGACTCATTCGGAGATCTCCTAATGTCAGTTTCATACATAATTCAGTCTCCGGCTAATCCAGAGCAAAAGCACAAAATTGGAGCCTTAAACTTCCTAAATGCAATCGCCTCTGAGGTTAATCAAAGATGCAGAAGGGGAAAAAACGTCATCGCCCTCAACATAGCTGACAATATCGCAATTGACAACATTAGACGCTCTGTTTCGAGAGCGTGCAACATCGCTGAAACCGATATTAGTTGTAGAAGACTGAGGAAAAATCTTTGCGTTTTCTTTGTCCGACTCTGTTCAGCTTCCGTAGCGAAAGTCTCGCAAATTCGTTTATCAAAAGTCAAAATACTTTAAGATCTGTCCCGAAATTCTGCAAAGTTATTCTATTCGTAGACAGGTCACCTTTGCAACGTGAGCTTCAACGCATGAGTGCAACTAATGTCTCGCCTGAGCCGAAGCAGAGTCATCCTCCATGCGCGCTTCCTGGATTGCAAAGAAGGAGATCATTCAACAGTGTTTGGTTCTCCCCTTCTAAAAAGGCAGATAATGTTAGCAAGGCCACTCTCCACACGAACGATGCTAAGACTGGCGACAACGTAGCGGAAATTGAGATGCTCACGCCTCCACACCACATTAGTCTTGTGGACATAGGAAATAGTGTAGCTTCACTCGATGCACCACGTTCTGACAAACCAGTAGGGATTAGGATCAATCCCCACACCACTATTGAAACAGATACAAGTCCAAAAACATCAAATGGGACTGTCGATAGCTCCAGTGAAGGTACGTTACGGCCCATTGACATTATGACTACACATAGCAGCAGTGGTCATGGTTCGCGTCCTAAGCGTCTTAGATCAAACAGGGGCCTTCGTGCTGGAGAGGTGACTCCCCGTGTCCCAATGACAGTCGTGAATAATAATGCAGCTGCACAGAGTGGCAAGCCACAATTCCCCATTGTTCCGGCGACGAGCCAAGGCTGTTCTCCTGGCAGGCCTGTACGTGGCTTTGCTGAATCACAGACCACTTATTTATGCCCCTATCCATACTCTGTTCCGCCTCCTCCTCTCACAATGCCTTCTGTGAGACCTTCGGCAATGACACCCTATCCAATTAAGCTAAATCGCCGCAACTTACCACAGCAATCTTTTTGCATTCCCCCACCCCACCCTAATCCCGATAGGACTGGCGAATCTCACGGTAAGGGATTTGCTGCGGAAGGCTTTAGAACTAATGTGATTGCAAGAATAAATACTGGACGGAGTGATAAACAACGCCAGGAGTTTTTAAAACTGGTGATAATTAATATCCGTTCTCTGTTGAATAAACCTCATTTACTCCGCGCCTTCATAAGTCTGAATAAACCTGATATGATTTTACTCACTGAAACCTGGTGTCATGATTCTATGCCCAGCCAGCTGCTTTCTATCGAAGGTTATAAGCTTATTAGAAGTGATCGAAAACAAGGCAGAGGAGGTGGTTGCATAATTTACTACTCACAGAACCTCACTGTGTCTGAATTCACACTTCCACTTATATGCCCCACTATTGATTCCGCTTGGTT